TTGTAAATGTTGTACTGAGTTTACTCTCCAACACACAACCAGTTAGTGCTGAACTAGTATTCTACACAATACACTACACTATACACTACACTATACACTACACTACTACACTATACACTACACTATACACTACACTATACACTACACTATACTATACACTACACTATACACTACTACACTATACACTACACTATACACTACACTATAATTGTAAATGTTGTACTGAGCTTACTTTCCAACACACAACCAGTTAGTGCTGAACTAGTATACTACACTATACACTACACTATACACTACACTATACACTACACTATACACTACACTATACACTACACTACTACACTATACACTACACTATACACTAATCTATACAATACACTATACCCTACACTATACACTACACTATACACTTCACTACTATAATAGACTACTACACAATACACTACACTATACACTACACCACTACACTACACTACTACACTATACACTACACTATACATTACACTATACACTACACCACTACACTATACACTACACTATACACTACACTATAATTGTAAATGTTGTACTGAGTTTACTCTCCAACACACAACCAGTTAGTGCTGAACTAGTATTCTACACAATACACTACACTATACACTACACTATACACCACACTATACACTACACTACTACACTATACACTACACTATACACTACACTATAATTGTAAACGTTGTACCGAGTTCACTCTCCAACACACACAACCGGTTAGTGCTGAACTAGTAACGATTTGTAGACGTTTTGCTCACGTGACAAACCGCTCACTCATTGGTCGTGTCGGGTGGTGGTGGGTTTTTACGACACACATTCATATTTACGTAATCTCACCCAACAACCTCTATTGCGCTCATTCCTACTCGCGCTGCGAAGGTGGATGCTGTTCAACTCGATCGCGTTGTATGCAATTCGCATCCGCGTTTATTGACAAGCACGTGTTCTCTATCATACGACATCCCGAAGCCCCATGTACGATTGGCCTTGTTAAAAACTTGCCACGCAGCGCTACGGACTGTCACGTGCGAATGACGCACGTACACGCACGCACGAAAGCGCTCAGCCTGAGCGGTATTATCGTCATCTTCTTTGGTTCTGTCGGTTAAAGTCACCACCACCACCACCACGTAGAATGAGAATACAATAATGAATTAATCGAATAAAATAACGCAGTTAAAATTCTCACGACGTTTCGGCCACAGCGCAAGCGGCCTTCAACAGGCGGAGGGACGAGACTCGCTCCAGCGCTGTCCTCCGGACAGTCTCGTCCCTCCGCCTGATGAAGGCCGCTTGCGTTGCGGACGAAACGTCGTGAGAATTTCATCGTGTTATTTTTACTAATCCATCATTCTATCCTCCTCCTACGTGGCGGTGACTTTTAACCGAAAGAGCCCAAAGAAGATGAATCCTTGCAGCCGCGACCAGCTTTAAAAGTCGGTATTACTGTCACCAGTTGCGTACTCGACTCGCCAAGCCATGCCAATTGAAACGTCGCCGCTCCAGGTTTTGCCACCTGTGTCATCACGTGCGTGACTCGTTCTGGAGACGGGGCGATGTTTCTTCACCGCACTCGCGACACCCCGGCCCGTGATGATTGATGGCGATGATTGATGATATATACGGCAACATCGTCACGGGGGGGTTTTCCGGCGCTCGTGCTTTTTGGTCTGAGCGAAGCAGCTGCGGTGAACGAATCAAGGGGATTGTGGGGGCACGATGGTCTCCATCGCAAGGGTCGGGGAGGTGAATGGGTGGGCATGTTGGGTGAGTGAGTCGGGTGAGTGAGATGGTGAGTGAGTGAGTGGATTATTTATGGAGTGAGATGGTAGGGGAGTGAGACGGTGGGTGAGTGAGATTGTGGGTGAGTGAGATGTTGGGTGAGTGAGATGTTGAGTGAGTGAGATGGTGAGTGAGATGGTGAGTGAGATGGTGAGTGAGATGGTGAGTGAGTGGGTTATTGATGGTGAGTGAGATGGTGGGTGAGTGAGATTGTGGGTGAGTGAATGAGACGGTGGGTGAGTGAGATTGTGGGTGAGTGAGATGGTGAGTGAGATGGTGAGTGAGTGGGTGATTGAGATGTTGGGTGAGTGAGATGGTGAGTGAGTGAGTGGGTTATTGATGGTGAGTGAGATGGTGGGTGAGTGAGACGGTGGGTGAGTGAGATTGTGGGTGAGTGAGATGGTGAGTGAGATGATGAGTGAGTGGGTGATTGAGATGTTGGGTGAGTGAGATGGTGAGTGAGATGGTGAGTGAGTGCGATGTTGGGTGAGTGAGATGGTGGGTGAGATGGTGAGTGACATGGTGAGTGAGTGGGTTATTGATGGAGTGAGATAGTAGGTGAGTGAGACGGTGGGTGAGTGAGGTTGTGGGTGAGTGAGATGTTGGGTGAGTGAGATGGTGAGTGAGATGGTGAGTGAGATGGTGATTGAGTCGGGTGAGTGAGATGGTGAGTTAGTGAGTGGGTGGGTTATTGATGGTGAGTGAGATGGTAGGTGAGTGAGATGGTGAGTGAGGTTGTGGGTGAGTGAGATGTTGGGTGAGTGAGATGGTGATTGAGTCGGGTGAGTCAGATGGTGAGTGAGTGAGATGGTGAGTGAGTGGGTTATTGATGGTGAGCGAAAGGTAGGTGAGTGAGACGGTGGGTGAGTGAGATGTTGAGTGAGTGAGATGGTGAGTGAGTGGGTGAGTGAGTGGGTGAATGAGATGTCGGGTGACTGAGATGGTGGGTGAGTGAGTGGGTTAGTGATGGTGAGTGAGATGGTGGGTGAGTGAGTGGTTGGGTGAGTGAGATGGTGGGTGAGATGGTGAGTGACATGGTGAGTGAGTGAGTGGGTTATTGATGGAGTGAGATGGTAGGTGAGTGAGATGTTGGGTGAGTGAGATGGTGAGTGAGATGTTGGGTGAGTGAGATGGTGAGTGAGATGTTGGGTGAGTGAGATGGTGAGTGAGTGAGTGGGTTATTGATGGAGTGAGATGGTAGGGGAGTGAGACGGTGGGTGAGTGAGATTGTGGGTAAGTGAGATGTTGGGTGAGTGAGATGGTGAGTGAGATGGTGATTGAGTTGGGTGAGTGAGATGGTGAGTGAGTGAGTTATTGATGGAGTGAGATGGTGAGTGAGTGAGATGGTGGGTGAGTGAGATTGTGGGTGAGTGAGTTGGTAGGTGAGTGAGATGTTGGGTGAGTGAGATTGTGGGTGAGTGAGATGGTAGGTGAGTGAGATGGTGAGTGAGTGGGTTATTGATGGAGTGAGCTGGTTTGTGAGTGAGACGGTGGGTGAGTGAGATTGTGGGTGAGTGAGATGTTGGGTGAGTTAGATGGTGAGTGAGATGGTGATTGAGTTGGGTGAGTGAGATGGTAAGTGAGTGAGTGAGTTATTGATGGAGTGAGATGGGGAGTGAGTGGGTTATTGATGGAGTGAGATGGTAGGGGAGTGAGACGGTAGGTGAGTGAGACGGTGGGTGAGTGAGATGTTGGGTGAGTGAGATGGGGAGTGAGATGGTGAGTGAGATGGTGAGTGAGTGGGTGATTGAGATGTTGGGTGAGTGAGATGGTGATTGAGTCGTGTGAGTGAGATGGTGATTGAGTGGGTTATTGATGGAGTGAGATGGTAGGTGAGTGAGATGGTAGGTGAGTGAGATTGTGGGTGAGTGAGACGGTGGGTGAGTGAGATGTTGGGTGAGTGAGATGGGGAGTGAGATGGTGAGTGAGATGGTGAGTGAGTGGGTGATTGAGATGTTGGGTGAGTGAGATGGGGAGTGAGATGGTGAGTGAGATGGTGAGTGAGTGGGTGATTGAGATGTTGGGTGAGTGAGATGGTGATTGAGTCGTGTGAGTGAGATGGTGATTGAGTGGGTTATTGATGGAGTGAGATGGTAGGTGAGTGAGATGGTGGGTGAGTGAGACGGTGGGTGAGTGAGATGTTGGGTGAGTGAGATGGTGAGTGAGATGGTGAGTGAGATGGTGAGTGAGTGGGTGAGTGAGATGTTGGGTGAGTGAGATGGTGAGTGAGATGGTGATTGAGTCGGGTGAGTGAAATGGTGACTGAGTGAGTGGGTTATTGTTGGAGTGAGATGGTAGGTGAGTGAGACGGTGGGTGAGTGAGATTGTGGGTGATTGAGATGTTGGGTGAGTGAGATGGTGAGTGAGATGGTGAGTGAGATGGTGAGTGAGATGGTGAGTGAGATGGTGAGTGAGTGGGTTATTGATGGAGTGATATGGTGGGCGAGTGAGATGGTGAGATTGTTGGTGAGTGAGATGGTGAGTGAGATTGTGGGTGAGTGAGATGGTGAGTGAGATTGTGGGTGAGTGAGATGGTGAGTGAGATGGTGAGTGAGATGGTGAGTGAGTGAGTGGGTTTTTGATGGAGTGAGATTGTTGGTAAGTGAGACGGTAGGTGAGTGAGACGGTGGGTGAGTGAGATGTTGAGTGAGATGGCGAGTGAGTGGGTGAGTGGGTGAGTGTGATGGTGGGTTAGTTATATGGTGGGTGAGTTATATGGTGAGTGATTGAGTGGGTGAGATGGTGAGTGAGTGGTTGAGAGAGATGGCGAATGAGTGGGTGAGTGGGTGAGTGTGATGGTGGGTGAGTTATATGGTGGGTGAGTTATATGGTGAGTGAGTGAGTGGGTGAGATGGTGAGTGAGTGGCTGAGAGAGATGGTGAGTGAGTGGGTGAGTGTGATGGTGGGTGAGTTATATGGTGGGTGATTTATATGGTGAGTGAGTGGCTGAGAGAGATGGTGAGTGACCGAGTGGGTCAGTTAGATGGTGAGACTGTGGGTGAGTGATGGAGTCAGATGTTGGTCGAGTGCGTTATTGAGGTTGAGTGGGTTCCATGAGTGTATTTTGTTTAACTGTTGTTCGAACTCAACAGACGATGGTGGTGATGAGAGTCCCATCTGCAAGAGCAAATAAATCTCTTAAATACTTGACTTGAGTCTTTCAATCTCTCCTTGCCCCACCTCACCTCTCATCTCCTTCCGTGCCCCCCTCCTCTCGTCCTCTTCGTTCCCAATCTCCTCGCTTTGTGCCTCCATCTCCCGGTGCCAAATCCCGTTGCAGCCCTCCGATGGAATCAACTTCCCCTGTACACTGAGCAACAATAACTATAGACTCAACTCTGCCACCCATAGACTCAACACTGCCACCCATAGACTCAACACTGCCACCCATCGACTCAACTCTGCCACCCATAGACTCAACACTGCAACCCATAGACTCAACACTGCAACCCATAGACTCAACACTGCCACCCATAGACTCAACACTGCCACCCATAGACTCAACACTGCCACCCATAGACTCATCACTGCCACCCATAGACTCAACACTGCCACCCATAGACTCATCACTGCCACCCATAGACTCAACACTGACACCCATAGACCCAACTCTGCCACCCATCGACTCAACACTGCCACCCATAGACTCAGCACTACCACCCATAGACTCAACACTGCCACCCATAGACTCAACACTGCCACCCATAGACTCAACACTGACACCCATAGACTCAACTCTGCCACCCATAGACTCAACACTGCAACCCATAGACTCAACACTGACACCCATAGACTCAACACTGCCACCCATCGACTCAACACTGCCACTCATAGACTCAACACTGCCACCCATAGACTCAACTCTGCCACCCATAGACTCAACACTGCCACCCATAGACTCAACACTGCCACCCATCGACTCAACACTGCCACCAATAGACTCAACACTGCCACCCATAGACTCAACACTGCCCATAGACTCAACACTGCCAAAGACTCAACACTGTCCATAGACTCAACACTGCCCATAGACTCAACTCTGCACCATAGACTCAACACTGCACCATAAACTCAAAACTGCACCATAGACTCAACACTGCACCATAGACTCAACACTGCCCATAGACTCAACACTGCACCATAGACTCAACACTGCCATAGACTCAACACTGCACCATAGACTCAGCACTACCACCCATAGACTCAACACTGCCACCCATAGACTCAACTCTGCCACCCATAGACTCAACACTGCCACCCATAGACTCAACACTGCCACCCATCGACTCAACACTGCCACCCATAGACTCAACACTGACATCCATAGACCCAACTCTGCCACCCATCGACTCAACACTGCCACCCATAGACTCAACACTGCCAACCATAGACTCAACACTGCCACCCATCGACTCAACACTGCCACCCATAGACTCAACACTGCCCATAGACGCAACACTTCCCAGAGACTCAGCACTACCCCGTAGTCTCAACACTGCCACCCATAGACTCCACACTGCCACCCATCGACTCAACACTGCCACCCATCGACTCAACAGTGCCACCCATAGACTCAACACTGACACCCATAGACTCAACACTGACACCCATAGACTCAACACTGCCACCCATAGACTCAACACTGCCACCCATAGACTCAACACTGCCACCCATAGACTCAACAGTTGTATCTACAGTATTGTGATTGAGAAAATTAAAATAATACAAATAATTACAAATCTGAAAATTCATGGATATATATTCTTAGCTCTTTCGGTAAAGTCACGTTGAAGGGAAACAATAACAAAATAAAATATATATAAAACAATAAAATTCTCACGACGTTTCGACCATAACACAAACGGTCATCATCAGGTGTGAAAACCAACGGCAAGAACATTTGAAAGAAGCAGCGGTTTGTATTTATTTATTTTTAAACGTTAGCACCACGGAGAGCGATTTGGCAGTTTGTTTAGATGGACGAGTCCATCTATATTGGGGAAAGAGAAGGGGGGAGACGAAAAATTAATGGATGCGGTCTGAAAGCCACTGTAAGCGTGAACAATCAATTAAGACCCGAAATGGTTGATCAAATCCTTCCAATGATTGCTAAACCAGAATCTATCTTCTCGGTTGAAATTGTCTCTGTGTTTGTATATGTGGATAGCCTCATGAACTAATCTTTCATGGTAGCCAGATGGCTTGCAAAGAACCTCTGTCTTGGAGAAGTCAATGTCATGTGAGCCCACTGAATTATAACAGTGATCTGCCACGGCCGAGGTGTTGGTCCTACCGTGTTTTAGGTCTGCTTTGTGTTCACGAATGCGGTCCGAGACATGTCGTTTGGTTTCTCCAATGTAACTACTACCACAGAGGCAACTTAGTTTGTAGACACCAGGGTATTGTATGGCCGGAATCACATCTTATACAGACGGAACCAGATCACGGATTTTATGTAATGTGTTGAAACGGACCTGGATCTTGTGTTTATTCAATATTTTTAGATCTTTTGTGTGATCCCCGCAATGTAGGGTAAAGTGATGGTTTTGAAAGGCTCCTCAAGACGGTCCTTCTTCATGGTTTGAGTGATAGCTTTGCGGATTGTGTAGTCGGAATAACCATTAGCCGTAAGAGCTTGGTGTACATGCTTGAGTTCACTGGCTATGTGTTCCTGGTCGGATATGCATTGGGCTCTATGGTGCAGAGTCTTGATGAGGGAAATCTTCTGGGATGGATGGTGGTGGGAATCCGGTTTCAGGTAAGCATCCGTATGGGTAGCTTTCCTGTAGACAGACGCCTTTTGGCCTTTTGGCGTCATCTGGTCGAGCACCAATTGGGTCGAGGCTCAAAAGAAAGCCGTCCCTTGGTGTGGACCAATCAGTTTCAAGGACAATGCCACATATATTATCATAGTATTTTTTGTGTTTGCATTTTGACTGCAGATATTGTGGTTAATGCAGACATGAATCCTTGTAAAAAAATGATTCAGTTTTGTTGCCAGAAAAAAGGGGAAAACCCTATTATTATATTTTGGTACTGGCAAAGGAGGTCTAATGCAGTGGTTCTTAACCTGGGTTCGATCGAACCCCAGGGGTTCGGTGAGTCGATCTCAGGGGTTCGGCAGAGCCCCCGCCACGGAGGTCCGGACACACTTGAATTATTGTGTAAATTTGTGATGACACACACGGCCCGCTTGGCCATCACTGGCTGCAGATGATCATGCTACACTGCTTGGCCAATCAGCGCTGCGGGGAATTTAGTGCGTACTCAGTAGTCAACGTGTGACTGTTGTTGTCGTACGTCGTGTGATTTCTTTAATATTTTATCCATACTAACTATGTCGGGCAAAAGAAGAAAGTGGTCGGACGAATATGTACAACATGGATTCTCATGTATCACGGAACGTGATGGGAGTGAGCGTCCTATCTGCATGATTTGCAACGTCAAGTTGAGCAACTCTAGTCTTGCACCGGCAAAACTAAAGGAACACTTCTTGAAGCTGCATGGAGACGGGGAATACAAGAACACAACACTTGCTGAATTCAGGGTGAAGAGAGCCAGATTCGATGAAAGGGCCACTCTGCCTGCTCTTGGATTTGTACCTGTTAACAAACCGATCCTGACAGCATCGTACGAAGTTGCTTACCTCGTCGCAAAGCAGGGCAAGCCACACACCATTGGTGAAACACTTGTGAAACCAGCTGCATTAAAGATGGCGAATCTGATACTCGGAACAGCGACCGAAGGTAAATTATCCCAAATTCCCCTTTCAAATGACACCGTCAGTGACAGAATAGAAGACATGAGTAAAGACATCTTGGCTCAAGTAGTCGCGGATCTGATTTCAAGCCCGGCAAAATTCAGCCTTCAACTCGACGAAACCACAGACGTTTCTGATCTAAGCCAGCTTGCTGTTTTTGTACGCTATGTGAAAGACGACATGATAAAAGAAGAGTTTTTATTTTGTAAGCCTCTTACAACAACAACGAAGGCAGCCGATGTGAAGAAGCTTGTGGATGACTTCTTCAGAGACAACAATCTTTCATGGGATATGGTTTCTGCAGTTTGTACGGACGGAGCTCCAGTCATGCTGGGAAGAAAGCCTGGTTTTGGTGCGCTAGTAAAGGCCGATGCACCACACATCATTGTGACGCATTGTATTCTGCACAGGCATGCGTTGGCAACAAAAACCTTACCTCCAAAAATGGCAGAAGTATTAAAAACTGTGGTGGAATGTGTGAACTATGTGCGAAAAAGTGCTCTGAGGCACCGCATCTTCAGTGAGCTGTGTAAAGAAATGGGCTCTGAATTTGAGGTACTTCTGCTCCATTCTAATATTCGGTGGTTATCCCGGGGACAGGTGCTGAATCGTGTTTTTGCCATGCGTGTGGAATTAGCCCTGTTTTTGCAAGAGCACCAACACTGCCATGCAGATTGCTTCAAAAATCCTGAGTTCATTCTCATTTTAGCGTACATGGCTGATATATTCGCAGCTCTCAATCATCTCAATCAGCAGATGCAGGGTGGTGGAGTCAATATCATGGAAGCGGAAGAACACCTGAAGGCTTTTCAAAAAAAGCTACCGTTATGGAAACGACGAACAGAGAACAATAACTTCGCAAACTTCCCGCTTCTGGACGACTGTGCAAGTAAGATCGAAGATGTGTCTGGAATCGGAGATATTTCTGTATCCACGGAACTGAAGCAAACAATTGCCACGCACTTAGATGAGCTTGCAAAGTCTCTCGACGGATATTTCCCTACAAGAGAGTCATATCCAGCATGGGTGAGACAGCCGTTCACGTTTGCTGTTGAAACAGCAGATGTCAATGATGAATTCCTCGACGAAATCATTGAAATTCAGCAGAGCCAGGTTCAACAGCAACTCTTCAGAACAACAACGCTCTCAACGTTTTGGTGTCGACAAATGAACAAGTATCCAGTTATTGCTAAGAAAGCCCTGGATTTTTTTATACCATTTGTTACAACATATCTTTGTGAGCAATCCTTTTCGAGGATGCTGGACATAAAAACGAAGAAAAGGAACAGACTTTGCTGTGAAAATGACATGAGAGTGGCACTTGCCAAGGTGAAGCCACGCATATCTGAACTGATCTCTCAAAGGCAACAGCAGAAGTCACATTGATTTCCAGGTATGTAATTTGTTGTGAGTTTATGCATTGTGTTGGTTTTATTCTTTGAACAAAGTAATGTTCATGCACGGCTCATTTTGTGTACCAGTAAAAAACATATCT